TGGTTACACGGCTGTTCTCACCATAATCGTCCTTACGAAGGATTCACGTGCCTTTCCGTACTTACGTTGTCTTTCAAACAAAAATGGGCAAGAAATAGGAAAAAAGCTAATATTATACCTCTCTCTTCGACAATAAGAGAAATGCAAATTAAAACTATGTCAAAATATCATTTTCGTCTATCAGATATATGAGAATCCCAAAGTTTGATGGCGTACTGTGTGGGAAAGACTGTGAGACAGAGGTGAGCTCGTCACTTTCTTGTTCTGATTATTAACTCACTATGTCCTCATAAGTAGGGTGGACCTTCTCGGAGGACAGACACGGTGCAGCCATAAAACGAACCTTCGCATAACTATAAAAACAAAAGAACGTGGACTCTCTTTACGGACTGATATGAAAAGGAGAAAAGCACACCCAGAATATTACCTTTTGTGTTAAAAAAGCGGGGGTGGGGAGTAGAGTATACATAATTGTTTTTAAGCAAAACTCTGGAAAGATATACAAAAACATAAGAAATGATTTTCTGTGGGGTGAGCGGGGGCAGATCAGGAGATTTTTTCATAGTCTACTCCTTTGCATCAGGGGACCCCAACCCCTGGGCTGAGGCCCAGTACCGGTCCGTGGCCTGTTAGGACCAGGCTGCACAGCAGGAAGTGAGCGGCGGGCGAGCGAGCGAAGCTGCATCTGTGTCTGCAGCCACTCCCCAGTGCCAGCATCACCGCCTCAGCTCCGCCTCGGATCCTCAGGTATTAGATGCTCACAGGAGCACCTGTCCCTGGCTCCACAAAAGTTGGGGACCGCTGCTTTATAATCTTTGCTATCTGAACTTTTCAAAATGTATTAACTTCTCAAAAATTAATCTAAAAACATAATACCATATATACTTAATACATACTACATATGCTATATATGAGCACATTGTAAGTTTAAAATATGAACTACGGGTATACATTTCAAAGTATACGAGGGTAAAATATGACACATTTTGTCGTCTTAGCAGCCAATATGTATGAACAGGGAAAATCAAGCCTGGAGGGAATGGCTCCCCAACCCTGACAGGCATTTATCGTGGCTGCTGGAATTCCTGATCATTTTCGTTTTCTTATAGGTTACCTGTCGTTCCTTATTTTATGTCGTTCGTTATTTTTGCAATATGAGTTTTCGTTCTAAAGAATAAACTTACAGACCAGGTCTTGGATTCCTACGAACCGTATCTCAACCCGCTCTTCACTCAGCTGAGTCCCTGCGAGTCAAATCCTCTGCTCGACAGGCTGAGCCCGCGGAGCAGAAGCAGCTGCTCACACCCTTCTCAAGGAGACGGAAGGAAAGACAAACAGCCCCACATCCCTCCTGCACAAAATCCCACCGAAACTCACAACGAAAGGAGCCGCGCATCCCCAACCTGGGCGGTCCCGTCGGGACAGCCCACAGGGCCACACGGAGGGACACGGGGAGGGCGCGCCCTGGCCCGGCCTCGCCCACCTCGGGGATGCAGTCCTCGTGGGTCACCACGCGGACGATGTCGTCCAGCGGCAGCAGGGAGTTGCACTTGATCTCGGTGTACACGTTCTTGCCCTCCGTGCACACGGCCAGGAGCTCGACCAGGTGGATGTGGTACATGAGCGGGCTGTTCTCATCCATCCGGTCCCGCTCCGAGCGCATCATCTGGATCAGGGTCTGGAAAGAGGCTCTGTCGTTGTAGAACACGAGGACGTCCTCGCCCGAGTTCACCAGCTGCGGAAAGAACGGGGCCTGTTCGCACGAGCCGGCGGGGGGTGGGGGAGCAGCGTAAAACACGCTACCTATTCACAAAGAGATAGATGCTCTGTTAGCGCTCACCTTCCCAAACCAGCCTCACCTACGCTACTCATCTCGATTTCATTCACTGACCTCACTCGACAACTGAAAACCTTCGGCAGCATCGTCTTTATCCAAAGATACAGAAATATCACAGTGGTTCTAAAAAAACTCTTAGGGGAAGAGAAAGTCTGCATAGCAGTGTTCGCGTATTGAGTGGAAACAGAGACTGCCAGCCAGCACTTGTATTTCCAAACCTAAGAGCTAGGCTGTGACTTTCCTTTTTAAAATGTTTCTACCTTCTCTTTATGCTTTAAAAGGCTCTCTCTGACTCTTTTATACACTGCGTCATCTCTTCACAGCCACAAATTATCCACTTCTAATTAAGACAGGCCTTCCTTTCAACGCATCAAAAAGTCGAGGCAGTCTCATTCATAACCTGTCCCCCAGGACTACGGCTTCTGATTAATCTCAAGAATAAATCAATTTAAGCACTGCACGAAATACAGAAGCTCCAAAGGGCTGGTATAGAAGGCAAAATAAATATGGTCGCTATCATTTACATAACGACTCACCACTATGAGCTCTAATTATATGCCAGATACTGTGACTTCGGATGGATTACCTCACCTCACTGTGCCTCAGTTTTGTCTGTAAACAGGACAAATGTGACAGCTAACTCATGGTGCTGTCACATAGATGAAATAAATGATTGTATATACGTTGCCTAGGACAGTGATGGGCGTATCGTAGGCTTCCAATAAGTATTAACTATTAATGTCACCCTTATCTCATTTAATTTGCATATCAGCTCCTCCAGGGAACACCGCTGTACCTTCATTTCACAGAAATGCACGTTGAGGGTTTAAGAAGTCAAGTGACACACCCCAAGTCACAGGCCAGAAAGTGGCCCAGCCTACATCTGTGTTCCAGGTTGAGCTGACTCCTAATTACACCGCACCGCCTTCCACTGGAACCGCATACGTAGATGGGATTATTAAGCCAAGTGTAAAGTGGATTCGCTTACGTTTTCATCGTTTAAAAAGGTGGGAAGATTAAACCAAGTGTGAAAGCCAAGGCCACAGGTGTGGCACTGACTTCCCACAGGTGGGACTGGGGCCTGATTCCACTGACCAGGTTCTTCTTGAGAATTATCAAGCTACGATTCTTAGCTAATTAATTAGATGAATAATTAAAGAAAGTCATTTAATCTGTAGGAAGGGAGGCTGCTCTGGCTCACTGGTTTCGTCCACATTTAATCTCCATCTATTACATTTTGGTTCATTATTCCTGGGGTTTTTTTTTTTTCCCTCTTCTCAGAAGACTCTGAGCAAAACTTTCTTAAAATGAATAAATTTATCGCTATAAAAATCAGATCAGACTCTTGCCTGTATCTGCATTTTAGGCTCACAAACATGAGACACCACCCCCCCCCCACACACACACAATTACTTTTGTCCCTTCGTATGGCTCCAGGAGAGCATGCCAGCTCTTACAGACAAGATGAAATAATTTTAAACTTTCTACGGAACACTGGACGAAGGTATACAGAACCAGACGGTCGTCACCTCGGCCATGACCATGTCTTGGCACTTCTTGATGAATTTGCCTTCGGCCTTGACGATCGTCTGCAGGAACTTGATGTACTGGACGTTGCGGCCGTGAGTCTCGATGCAGTGGACAAAGTGCTGCACGACCCGCTCGTTGATCTCGCTGCACAGCTGGAAGTTGTTCATGAAGATGTGCTGCATCGTCACCGCCTCCAGGATCTGGCAGAGGGTGGGGTCGGGAGCACAGAGACAGGTCAGAAGCTGGGGCCAAGTCCGCCGAAAACAGAGAGTGGGTGTCTGCACCCACGAGAGGTCTCCCCGTCTTCGCTCCCGCTGCCCCGCTTCCTTGGAAACCTTGCAGCCCCGTGTCGTGAACACACAGGAGGAAACAAACCCCCAGCACGCAGCTAAGTGGGTTCCCGAGGGAGCGTCAGCCCCCAGACCAGGAAGCGAAGCAGCCTTAAAGGACACCCGCCCCCAATTTCACTGCAGTTTTGACTTCTGCAACCACAGGTTGGCTTTGCCTGTTCTTGGCGCTCACACATCTGTTTCTCCCTGGCTTATCTGGTGGCACATCACATTTCCAGTGCTGTCATCCATGCTGCTGCACCTGTTTGTTCCTTGTCACTGCTACGTACACATCATTGTATGGCCACACAACAAGGCAGTTACCTGCTCCATTACTGGTGGGCATTTGGGGAAGTTTCCAGTTTTAATGATAAGTCATGACACTATTCTTGCTACAGATGTTATGAATAGTGCCGCTCTGAACATTCTCGTACACGTCTTCCAGGAAATGTAACATACACGTTTCTGCTGGGTTTCTACCCAAAAAGGGAATTGCTGGGTTTAAATAGGTTTAAACACGTTTAAATATGTTTGCCTTTAGAAGACACGTCCAAACGGTTTTCAAAGACGTTAACAGGGCTCATTCTAAGTTATGGCTAGTCCACATCCTTGCCGATGCTTTTCGATTCAAGTTGTTATCTTATTTAATTTGCATTTCTCTGATGACTAACCCTGTTGAGTACCTTGTCACCGTTACTGGTCACTTGGATATCCTATTATGGAGTGTCTCATTGGACAGTTATTTGTCCATTTAAAAAATAGGTTGTCTTTCTCCGTACTGACTTTTCCGACTTTGTTATATATTCTGGATGTGAATTCCTTACTGGACATGTGCACTGCAAATGTCTCCTCCCCACCCCTGGCTTGCCTTGGAACACTCTTCATCATGTCATCTGATGAACAGAAGTCTTTTAAAAAATCCAATTTATTGATATTTTCCTTCATGATTAATGCGGCTTTCATACTGTGTATGAAAACCTCGCTTTCTACAACGTTGTGAAGCTATTTTCATGTTATCTTCCAGAAGCATTGTTTTCTATTTTTACCAACATTTACTGAGCTTTTTGTTTGGTGTGAGGTAGGGGGCTTTCACCCTTTTGGCTTTTGCTTGTTCTTTCTCTTAACACGACAAAGAGGGAACATTACAATCCAGCAGTCCTGTTTCTGCAAAGCTCCAGCTGTACTGAGTGTGTGTGCACGTGCACACGTGTGTACGTTTGTGAACATGTGTGTACAAGGGTGCGCGTTGTAGTACTGGTTACGAAACCAAAACTTAGACACTGCCTAATTGTCCATTAATATGAGAACAGCTTTTTAAAAAACTTACAGCCATGCTATGGAATACACGTAACCATCAAGATGAATGAGAAGAATGTATATCTCTGACTTGCAAAGACAGCCACCACGTGTTAAGTGAAAAAGCAAAATGCAAAACACTGCAGAGTACGCCCCGTTTCTTTAAATAATGAATACGTGTTTAATATATTTAAAAAACATATTTAACGAACTGAAACGTCACGCCCTTGTGCTGTATATGAACATACGATGTATCTGTATAAACAGAACTCAGGCCTGACCTCAGGAGGATGCGGCTGGAGACAGAGAATTAGCACCTCTCCAGTGCTGAAGTTTGACCTCAGAAGATGTCATAGTATTTTTTCATCTTTTGTAGTGAGGAATATTATTAAAAATTATATAAACATATCTTACTTTGACTCTACCAACCTCCCCCTCCCTCCTCTTGCCTCTCCCCCTAAAAGGTGGGGAGATTTGTGTCCACCTGAGAGTAGATCAGAAGGTTCCCCCCGGATGAGTGTCACATTGTGACAAGTCCCAGCGGCCACAACAGCAAAGGACAATCCGTGCCTCTCCCGCCCCGCCTCCTCCCGCCCCGATTTCCGGGGGGCCCGGGCCTTACCCCGGGGTTGAGGAACAGGTTTGTGTGCTTGTGCAGCAGGGCCTGGTTCTGCTGGTTGCCCGCACAGAAGTTCTGCAGAAACTCATGCGCCAGCCGCATTATCTCCTGCATCTTGGTGTCCTCGGCCTGCGTGGGAGGAGACACAGAGAGCCGGGTTGGCGGGAGAAAGCGTGCCTCTCCGGGCCGGGAGACGGGGTTCTGCGACACGCCCACGGCCACGAAGGCGGGGCTGGAGGCTCCGTGGAGGGCCCGCTGTGTGGGGATGCCCCGGTGCTGCCCTGCTCAGACCGAAAGGAAGCCAGGAACGTTCCCGTGTTCCCCTGAGTTCTCCCAATGGCCTTGGGCAGAAGCAAAAATATTTTACTCCAGGAAAAAGGCAATACAGAGTGGAAGGTATGAGAAGGCCTCTGGGATTCCACTTCTAAGCACGGCTGGGACATCTCGAAACGGACTGACGGCAGAGCAGGGCTGACTTCATCGCTGTGGGAGCCCACGTCCCCCGCAGCTCGCCCTTCTAAGGTGCTCACCTGTGGCCGTGTTGACTTTTGGCAGAGTGGGAATCTCTTTAGGTTATAAGTCAGGCCCGTGCACCTGTCATTACTGCTCTCCTTGTCCCCTCAGGCACACCATCTAAACTGAGATTTAGTTTCCCATCTGCAATGTGGGGTTACTGCCTGCCCTGGGCGTTTCACACGCTGATTTTGTGATTCTCATTTCATATGTTAAAACCACAAACTCTGCAAAGAGTCAGCAGTCCCCATGATGAGACAATCATATAAAACCTATTGCCCTTTTGCCCGATTCTAAACAAGCAAACACTCACGATAGCAAAAGCAAATTGAGAATTCCAAAAACTAAAAGTCGCCCCTCACATTCCTTGAGCCCCAACAGTCCTAAGCCTGCTCACGTCCACCACCTCCTCTCCGAGGCCAAGACCACAGCCGTGAGGAAGGCGGGCCCTAAACTCAGTCTGCTGAGCTCCTTCCCCAGACCTCACACGGACCGGCTGTGTGACCTTGGGAAAGATACGTAATCGCTCAGGGCCTGTTTCATCTGTAAAATGGAGAGAATAAAAATGCACATTCCATGCGGATGCTGTGGAGATTAAAGGAGATTAAATGCACGCCCAGTGTGTAGACAAGAATTCCTTAAAAAAATGTGAGTGGCCGGTTCTGGTCTGGGCCAAGGGTCATAAACTTTTCTTTAAAGAGCCAGAAAAGTACTTTTGGCTTTGTGGGCCACGAAGCGAAAGAGAGGGCATGATGCAGGTGCTTTAAAACCAGTGAAAACGTAACAACATAGAAATGCGAGCACCATTCTCAGCTCCGACGCGCCACAAGCACACGGGTGGTGGCCGGGTTTGACCCTCGTCTGCAGCTTGCCCGTCCCGGTGGTGACAATAACCCATGAGACAACAGGACACGTCTGCCGTCAACAGCTAACAGAGGAACCTGGCTGCCAGCTTTCACGATCAAATAAAACCAGGAGAATTAAGGAGGATATCAACAGGAAGTCTCACTACGTCAGAGCGGGCATCACATTGGTCTCCCGTTAACAGGAAGAGTGACCGACCACCCAGCTCTAAGAATCCGAGGTCCTGGGACAGCAGAGGTTGGCAGCTTCCATTTCTTCAGCTACAGATGGAACCTGCTGGGGCTCATGGAAACAAACAAGCCTTTGTCGTCCGAGAGGGGTTTTGCGGGGTGGACAAGCTCCGAGGGCAGCATACGACAAGAGGTCGTCTGTCAGCAGGGACCCCTCCACTGTTCTCCCTCACCGCGACGCTGGTACCCACTCCAAAGCAAGTCACACACACACACGTGAGGGCTGGTCTCGGAGCCGGCGTAACTTCCTCACCGCCCTGGGAATGGGCATCTCTCAGTAAGGAAACTGACAACGCCATGGGACAAAGCTGCGGCCAGCCGACTGTCTCCTCACATCTTTGCACGCAGGGAGGTACATGGACTTGCCAGTTCTAGTCCAAAGGTCGGCCGAGTTTGGATGTCGTGCACACCTATGTTAACGTCAACCAAGTCAAGTTCACGGCCTACCAGAAGGATGGAGCCTGTACTTGTTTGTGGCTGTGGAAAGGCCTGATGCCTAATTCTCACCGCCACCACAGGTGAGGAGAAGGCCTCTGCAGGGGACATCCTGGAGTGCAGGGACAAGTGAGGTGCAGGTAAGGTGGCACGCACAGCGATCCACAGCCCAGGCTCTTCGGCTGAGCAGGCCAGCTCTGCTAGGTGTGCCTGGCCACCCAGGTGGGACACTGAAGCCCTCTGGTCAGCGACCTCGTCTATAACAGACTGCTAGAAGTTCCGCCCCTCTCATCCGGGTGTCTCGGGACTAAATGAGCCAGTGACCCTGATGAATGTAGCCCAGAGTCACACACTGTGACCACCGGCAGGGGGCAGTCCTCTGGCGAGTCTTCAGTCGTCTCTGGCCGTCACCATCGAGCTCGCGAGACCCAAGTCTGTGTCCTTGGACTCTAAACGTCCCCAAGCCATCTCCTGCCTGCCACGTGGACCACCGCGACTGCCGCGCTGGGTTTTGGAGGGAATGCTTTAGAAATGCCCTCTCGGGCCACATAGGTTCCGGGCGCCATCACCCCACTTCCGTAAATCCTGTCACTATCAACGACAAACGCTAACGCCGAACGGGAGACAAAGCGCAACTTCTAACAGCAACAAAGGAGACTTGGAGCAAAGCATCAGCGGATGCACCCAAATCCTCAGCCGGCTGTCGGCGCCCCCGTGAGGACTCCGAGGTGGTGGCCCCAGGTCCCGCCGCGCTGGACAGCGCGTACGCGCTTCAGACGCTCCGCGGCGTCCGCAAGCAGGTCTGCGGCACCAGCTCGTGCAAGTACAGCTCTGTCCACCTGACTTCACGCAGACCCGGCCGTCCCCATGCCGCGCGGCGTGGGGAGGACAAACGTCCCCGCCCTTCTGCACAGAACCTCACAGTGGAGGGAGGCTACGGGTGACCCTAATTTCCTTTTACGATGCTCGGTCTGCTTCAGTCAGGTACCGAAACCTGCTTTAGGGTCCCCATCGTCAGCGTAGCTCCCCGGCCCCGCCCACCTCCACGGCCCCCGCCCACGCGGCCCGCCCACCTCCCTGCGAGCCCCGCCCTCCCATCTCCCTGGCCTCGCCCACACCGGCCCCGCCCACCTCCACGGCCCCCGCCCACGCGGCCCGCCCACCTCCCTGCGAGCCCCGCCCTCCCATCTCCCTGGCCTCGCCCACACCGGCCCCGCCCACCTCTCGCCCCGCCCAACTCCCGCCTGGCCCCGCCCGCCTCCCCGTCCCGCCCACCTTCTCGTAGGGGATCTGCAGCAGCTCCAGCACCACCGCGTGCGCGCTCATGTTCCGGAGCAGGCGCTGCTGCTGCTTGCGGCTCTTGCGCACCGACGCGCTCTCCTGCACGCACAGCTTGCTGAGCCGGACCAGGATCTGGGGAGGACAGCGCCGCGTTTGAGGCCCGCACCGCGGCAAGCGGCCCACGGGCAGTAATACCGCGTTTGCTTGTCATCAGCTAAGACGGCAGGTCTTAAACGCTCTCCCCACTGCCCCAAAGCTAACCGTGAGTGACAGCCGTGTCCACTAGCAGGTCTTAAACGCTCTCCTCCCACCCCCGTCCCCCTAAAGCTAACCGTGTGTGTGACGGACGTGTCCACCCACTCAATCATGGTCATCGTTTCATGACCATGTCCATCAAATCCTCACGGTGTACACTCTAAGTATATTCCAGTTTTGTCGATTAAACCTCGATAAAACTGAGGAAATTTTTTAAAAATAAATCAATCAACCTCAGACAACTAGGAACTATATTTGGAAAAAGACTGCGGGGGACGGTGGTGGGGAGGGGGACAAAGAGAATCACGATACATCAAAAAGCCTAAAACGAGGGACATTCTTCCAATATGTAGCACCCCTGTTGGTGACATCAAAACGAATCTACGTAAGGCCGAGGACATGCCCTTCCGGAATAACTGGTGGATTATGGCTCCAATAGCAAGTGGGATGGCTTAAGAGGGCTCTGTTAAAGGGGCGACACTCGACATCGTGAATGAAAACAATGGAAGAGTCTGCTCTGGGGCGACAGCCACGAAGCTCCAACCTCCAAACTCAGACCTGCTCCACGCGGATTTCTAAAGGACAGCTCTGGGGGGCACGGCGCGAGGCACCAACAAATCCTTGAGAATCATAGCGCTGAACCCTCCATTAACCTGTAAACCTCCCAAAGTACGTGTCCCTATACGAGGGGAGGAAACCGAGGCCATGCAAATACTAAGCGGCAGAGCTGGACTCAGACCGGTACCTGAGGCTAAAACCCACGCACTTATCCTGAGGGCCACACACTCCCTGTGTGCACCTTCGACCTGGCTGTCACAAACCCCAGCCGCGTTGAGGATTAGAGGAGGAGGAGGGCCGTGGGGACACTCACCTCCTTCACCACCCTGTAGTTGTAGCTGCTGGTGCTCTCGTGCTTCTGTGACTTGTTATTCCCGTCCTAGGGACCAGAGTGGACGTGAGTATGATCTGCACCACTCCTGGGCACCCGTCCATTTTTCAGAGTTGGCACCACGCTTTGCAAGAGAGGGCGGTGTGCAGCGTTCGCCCCGTCGTGCTGGGCTCATGCCTTCATCTGCTGGCTCGCATGCAGCTCCTTCTGACGGATGCGACCTCGCCCGCATGGGGGAGGACGGCAGGCCAGGCCATAGGTGGAAGACAGGTTCCCTCCCAGGTGGGCACATTAGGGAAGCTCGGTCTAGTTCACGCAACAGGGCAGTCTATTCTGCATGGTCTGAGTGACCGGCGGTAAGTGGCTGGACTTCTTTTTGGGGCTTATTCCCTGGGAGACTAGCAGTCGCCCTGGCTACTTAACGAGCAGGTCCCTGGAGAAGATAGCCCATCCCATACCCTGCATCCCATAACAGAGAACAGCGTTTGTTTACACGTGGCGAGGAGCCACCTGCCCTTCACCCACCTCTGTCTTCTTGTGTTCGTTCTCTCCAGACGGGCCCTCCATGGCCTCGTCGGGGCCCTGCCCTTTGTACACCCAGAGCTCCGACTTCTCCACGATGGATCTCAGCTGGTCCAAGTCCTGTTTGATCTGTTTGTAGTTGTCAACATCTTGGCTGGTAACAAGCAGTTGAACCTGAATGAATGAATGCAATTCATCAGTGGCACTGCACAAATGCCACCCCGCGCACACAAGCACACGCTCACACATACACGCATGCACACACACACTCACATGCACGCACACGCACGCACACACTCACGCACACGCGGCAGTCTGACCGACCTGCTTGAAGGCCTGCAGCACTTCCTGCCTCTGGCTGAAGTGCCGGAAGAGCAGCTGCAGGGCCCCCGACACCAGCGGGGGGTAGTCGTGCATTGTCAAGTGCAGCAGGACGCGGAGGAAGGTTCTGCCGCCGTGGTCATCCAGATCCAGGGGGGTGTTCTCCTCGCTAAAGCCGGCGCACGCGTGGCAGTCTGACCTACCTGCTTGAAGGCCTGCAGCACTTCCTGCCTCTGGCTGAAGTGCCGGAAGAGCAGCTGCAGGGCCCCCGACACCAGCGGGGGGTAGTCGTGCATTGTCAAGTGCAGCAGGACGCGGAGGAAGGTTCTGCCGCCGTGGTCATCCAGATCCAGGGGGGTGTTCTCCTCGCTAAAGCCGCATGGGGGGGGACAGATGAGCCACAAACGCCCTCCTGTCACACGCCGTGGGCCCAGGCACACCCGACTGGTCACATGGCCAGCACCTCATGTGACGTTACAACCTTGTTTCATCTCCGAACGCATTGCGAGGTGAGGGGACGATTAATATGTCACGACTGTTAACTTTTAAACCAAAGTCCCGACCTTCCCGCAGTGACGGGACTGGCCTGGCGGGCAGAAGGCCAGGCTCCTCGTCAGGGGTTCCTCACAGGGGCCTCACCTAGGGTTTCAGAAACGCGCACAGTGTGTCTCTCCTACACTGTTAGTCTACATTTTATGTAAGATGCTGTCATTCAGAGCTGCCAAGCTATCTATGGGGAAGGACCAGCTTTTTTTACTTCCGGGTTGTAGCCAACTAATGCCGACGTCTGTACCAAGTCCGTGCCTACTCTCGCATCTGTCCTTCCTTGTCACAAACCAGCCACCAGCAGCTCGGACCTGCAGACGCTGCTCTGCGGGGCGTGGCTGTGAACCATTGCAAGTTGGCACCGTGCGAATGGAGTACAGCGGCACAGCCATGTGTCATTTACACAATCAAAGTCCTCTTAACCACGTCCCGGACCAAATGGCAGGCCACCGTGTAACTGAGCACCGCCACCCAGCGACCGTGCCAGCGTCTGTACTGTGGGCGCTGTCGCGTGTCACGTGGTGAGACCGTGGTTACAGGCAGCAAGGAAGGCAGAAGACTCAACACGTAAATGCTCTGTTCATGCTACATGCTCCAAAAAGGTGTGAAGACCGTTTCACTGCTACTCACTATCGGGAAAATGGAGGGACAGCTGAGACATGACACAGCACACGAAAGTGTCGTCATGCTGAACCCAGAACACCCCGTGTTTCAGAAAAACCACCTCTTCCACGTGGCCAACAATGTTGTTAACTGCACAGGTGTCATGTTAAGGGACGAGGCGGACTCCGAGCGCTGGTGACCCCACAGGCCGGGCCCTCCACATCGATGTGGCTCAGCCACGGGACTCGCCTTGACCGACAGGTCGTTAGCAACGGGCGGCAGGTGGAGCTGTGATGAGTGCTCGGACGCTGTGGGCCCACCCTCTTGGGACCTCGGCACTCAGAGCCAGGCAGCAGGCTATAAAGACGCCCATGACATTCAAGTGCAGGGAGGTCCCAGCCTCATGGGTGTCCCCACCAAGGAGCCAGAAACGTGAGTGAAGCAAGCTGGAAATGCCAGGTAGCTAGTTACACAGCAAGAGATGGAGCCAGGTGTGTACGTTATAAGAATTCTAAGTTATAAGAACACCAGGGCTGCCGGTATTTGAGTCTTATTAAGTATTTGAGACTCATAATCACATTTTAAGTCAACACTGAGCAATCTGATCTTTGAAAAGGGTTCCTACATCAACGTGAGGGACGATGAAAGGCCAGCACGTGTGTTCTTGCTGTTACGTGGGTGCTCAGGGGTAAAAACTAGCCCATCCGCACAGAAGTACACAATCTGGTAACCTGCTCTGTGGAGCACGCTCTTTCTTACGACCCCATGTCCCGCCATTTAAAAATCTTGTAATATGTGCATTTTGGGGAAACCTCCTTAAAATCCTTCCTGCCACAGGCAGGAAACATCACACACACACCCCCAAGCGGACCACCATTTCCGACCTGAGTGCCAAGAGTCACAGAGAGCAGTAAAACCACTGACCCCACGGTCTGACCCTCCCCCAGTACACAGTGAAGGAAAAGCCTCTGAGGGCCGGAGAAGAGACGCCTCCCCACCCTGCAGCCACCTAAGAAACTAAAACTGAAAATATACTTTCCTTCCTCCGAAGATGCCTTCTGCTTGTTCTTCAATATGTTCAAAGTCAAGAGCACCTGCAAAGTCAGAGCACGGGACGTGAGACGCAAGATGCTTTGAGAGTGTGCCCCCTAGATGGCCTTGCCCCTGCCCGTGGGGGACCTCGAGCCCTCCAGAACCTTACAGGGCAAAGCTGCGAGCCTGGGAAATGCAGACCGCACTGCCCACCGGGCGTGGGATGCACTGTCCACACTTCCGCCGCGTGATCCCTCGTGATGGCACAGGGTTGCCTCCTTCCGAGGGAGCTCAGGCCTGTGCAGGGGGGACGAGGGGGGTGCTTCTACCGCCACCCTCCCCTTATCCTTCACCGCCCATCCCCGGGCAGAGAAAGACATCCATCAGGAGAAGCTGCCAGTGCACAGTACGTTTTCGTGGTCGGTTCTGTTTTGGGGGTTTTGTTGTTGTTTTGGCACTGCATGTAACCACATGGGCACCCTCAGCCATCTTACGGCCAACTCGCTCCAGGATGGAAGGCAAGATCCACCCCAGAAGGGTCTGGGCCCTTTCAGTTATCACCCTGCCTGCAAAGGATAACGCTGAGGATCTCGTTCTAGAATACAGTGACCGCCAAAGCCACGCACGCTTCACCCTCCTTCTGGAACGTGCTGCTTGGGCCCCAGTCCGCACGAGACCAGGCCCCGCTCCCTGGCTGGTTCTGGAAGCACTGACCTGGCACGCTGCTGGGCCCCTCCTGGCTGCTGCTTCCTGAGGACGCCTCCGAAGTCTGGGAATTGCTTTCGTCAAACTCCCGCTTGAATATACACAGGAGGCAGGAGATCCTATAGTCCAGCCGCACATTGAGAATGAACTAAAGAGTCAAGTGGAAACAGAAACATGCATTACGAGAGCAAGCCACCTGTGACCCGTCGCCAAGCCACCTGCCATCTGCTGCATCCGTCACCTTAAGCACCGAGCGAGCCAAACGTGAGGCTTAGATGTCGACTTCTGTGGGGTCGATCAGGTCTGCGCGCCGCATCTCCGGTCCCAGTGCAAACTTCGGCACCCCGGCAATTAATTTAATAACAAGAACGATAAATCACCGCCCCCCACCCCGATCCTCTACAAAACACGACCTCGTTTCAGCAAGTACCGAATGCCAACTCCGAGCCCTGAGAAAGGCTGACATTGGCTGCTTTTCACTGAAGAGAGTTAACAAGGAAAAATACTCCAATACTGGAAATGGGCTCGCTCCGTGGTTTTTGTTTCTGACCGTTTCCTGATTCAGACGCAGGCCCCGGGCACCCTCTTCCTTCACCTCCCACTTCCTCTGCCCTCCTCTCCGACATGAGGTCACTTTCCCCGGGACGGTGACTGGAGCCGAAAAGACAGGTCAGCCAGCTGGCGTTATCTGAGGACCTTACTGACCTCCCTTCTGTTCCCTCCTCGTCTCTGCCTTGCCTTCTTGGTGACCTCACTCAATCCCAGGGCTGTCACCTCCTCCCAAGGAGCCAGACCCCTGGCTTGCCTTCCAAGCCCTTGGTTTTCTCCTGACTATGGGACGTCCCATTCGGTGTTTCCTCAGAGTCGCGAGCTCAAACCGCGTATTGCACAGAACGGTGTCACCCCCGCCAGCTTCCCGGGTCCACCCAGGACCGCTGACTCCGCTTCTTCCACACATGCGTCACGTCAATGAGTAAGTCCTGGACTGTCATTCACACCTGCTCAGGTTCCCTCTATCACCTGCCTCGGCCACTCCCAAGGTCACCAGGTCCACTTCCCTAGGCTTATTCCAGGTTAGCCCTCGGCCTGGACACTTCCAAAGGCTCGCCACAGAACAGGGTCCTGACACACGAGGCACCCAGAGCTCTCTAGATCACGGCCGCGTCCTCCTTTACCAAGCTCTTTACGACCATCTCCCTTCAACGCACGCTATGTGTCCTGACCAAGGAGAAGTGCTTGCTGACCTGTGTGCCACGATGCGCTGGTTCAACCTGCTTCATCCACCTGAGACCTTGTTTCTATGCCACGAACCCGCCCAGGCTTCAAGGCTCGGCGGGAACACCGCCTCCTCTGAATAACCCCGGTCCTTACGAAGCGGGATCAACGAGCCGCCCCCGTGTCTCGGGAGAAGACCCTTCTTATGGTTTTATTTCCACACACGGCTTCATCGCACCCTATTTTCCTGATAGATTATAAACCCCTTGTGGATACGGCCCCCGTGCAAATCACCCGTGCATTCCTCACAGCGCCCAGTGAAGGCCTAGCATGCGGCGGGGGTCGGTAAGTACTTAAGAGAGCGAATCCATCAACCGGTTCTCAGACTGCTATGGCAAGTGGACCCCAAGACGCGACCGAGCTGCACATCACATCGTTTCCGATAAACACCCACAACGCTGACCCGCTCGGGACGCGTGAGCCGTGGCCTAAGCAGCTGTTCGTTCTCTGCTTGCGGTCAGGCACGATAAATTCGGGGGTTTCTTCTTTACCTATGGCTTTCTTTGTTGCCTTAAGCAATTATTCTGATGAGTCGCACTGACGCTTTCAAGCAACGGGTAAAATGTGATTTCGGACTAACAAAAAAATTCCTTAGGTCTGTAAACATTTATAATTTCTAAATGTTCTGGGGTTGGGATTAGGCAGCACGGGACGAAAAAGGACGATAACAGTATCTTTTTTTTTTTAAGGAGCAAATGATTTTGTTGAATAAACATTACCGGGGAGCAGGAAGAGGAAAACACGGCTGCTGGGGGCCTGGGGGTTCTCCCACCCGGGGACTGAGTCCCTGCCGCGGACCGGCCCCCACCCCACTCCCCGCCGTCAAGCTTCCCCTCCCTGCATGACTGGTCCCATCAGCACGCACACCACTGCGATCGCCCAGCGGAAGGAACATTCCAGCAGAGCCCAGCCCCCCACGCTCGTCCCCAGGCTTCTCCCGATTCTCCGTGCAACGTCACAGGAAATCTGCTCGGGAGACCGTCTGTGTTTACCCCTGACCCCAGCCCATCTCCTCCCCTTCCCGCTGAACCCGACCTGCTCCCCAACTTGCTAA